AGGATTCTGGGGCTTCGTCTGACATACTTTGGACATGTTGTAAGGAGAGACAGGTCTTTAGAGAGGGACATCATGCTGGGTAGAGTAGAGGGACAGTGCAGGAGGGGGAGACCCTCTATGAGGTGGATTGATTCAGTGACTGGGGTAATCAGGATGGGTGTGTCATGAGGCAATGAGATTGGTACAGGATAGAGCACGGTTTAGGGCTTTTGTACATAGGGTCGCTATGAGTCGCAAATGACTCGATGGCACATAACAACAACAACAACAACAATTGTAATTCTGATATATCCTTTTGTTCAATGAATCTCTGGATGCCATAGCTCTTTTTCATAATATTCAGGAACAATATGAAATGCCTTTTGGTCAAGGGAATGAATTGGAAAGCCTTAGTAATCCTTCAGTTTTGTTTTGTTTATAAATTTGTTTTCCAAATGCTAAATTGAATCACTGTTATACAGATATAAATACAAATCAAACTGTATTTTTTTTTTTTTAGCACTCACTTTTGCTCTAGGCGCCCTTCTTGTGTGTGTGTCGATATATCTTTATGGACTACCCAGACAAGACACTACATCCATTCAAGAAACCACTTCCAAAGAGAGAGTCCTTGGCGTGTGACTGTGGTCTCTTACTGGGACATTTACATTAAACTAGAGCCTTAAGTCAGTCCCAGAGGGTAAACAAAAACAACTATAAATTTTATGGCATTAATGAAGAAGAAAGCCACGAGTTAATTGTTATGTGGACCTTTTTGGAGTCAGTTTTAGAATGAAAACATTTTATTATTGTATATATTTAAAATGTACATAAAACATATGACAATGATGTGGCATTAAAAATCATGTGAGGTTACAAATGGTCTGGGACAATATTTAAGAGTTAAGGTACCAAAGCCTTTCTGAACTAAGTGTTCTCTTGTTCAGGTACCAGGAGAGAGGGGCAGATCCTCCTTTTCTGTTCATGTATAGTATTTTGTCAAAGCAGTAGTAAAGAGAAGTTCTCATAAAACAGACTGATTCAGACCTGAATTGAATGTGTAACTTTTTCTCACAATGTATCTGTTTCATAACTCAGTGATTTCTGGATGGTGGTGGAATATTCTTTTAGTGCTGTACTTGTGCCATTCATAGTCTAGATTTATATTTCTTTGCTGTTACACATTATATTTCAGAACCATTTCTAAATGTCACTTTTGTACTTTTTTTTACAAGATGTTGGGCTCTCAATAATTTGTGGAATTTCAGTGTTTTTAGAAGATTTCTATAATATAAATGGATAAATTTAGCAATAAACTTAATTTATTTCTGTGAATTCTGTTGACTTACTTTTTGTAATATGGAGATTGACCATTAATATAATGCAAAAAACACCAAAACATTATAGTTTTTATTTATGTTGGATTATATCAATTGGCTCTTTGGCTGAAATATTAACTGTTAAAGATTATAGGAAGGATAACAATCAGTCAGGTCCATCAGGATATTCGTTACAGAAATTACAGAACAGTCTTTTCATAGAGCTGCTTTTGGAAAGAATTGGTTCTAATCATTGTCTCTGCATCATTTCACTCATGGTTCAAATGCACATTTTATTCTAGGACTGGTTTGTGTTGGGGAATTTTAACTTTAAGCAGCACATTTAGCAATCTGAAATATAACTCACTTAAAATTGAGACTGCCTGGTTAAGTTTTTAAGGAGTCAAATGGGTAACTATACTGATAACTTTAAACAGTGTTTTCACTCAAGAATCTTTGGTTTAATCAATCTAATATGCTTCTCTGGGACAATATTTAAGAGTTAAGGTGCCAAAGCCTTTCTGAACTAAGTGATCTCTTGTTCAGGTACCAGGAGAGA